ATGTCCTTTTTAAGATATGGTGACCAAACCTGCACACAATATTCTAGGTGAGGTCTCACCAAGGAATTGTTGAGGAAAGTCAGTAGGTCCCCTGTGAGAAAGGAGAGCAGTGGAAGCCTACTGAAGCCTAATGAAGCCTACTGATCTGAAATATACAGGCAAGATCCTCCCGCTTCGAGAAACAATCACATGTACACAGAGTTGGGTAATTCAGGTCCCGAGAGTAAAAGTCCAGACTGGGATTTTGTTCCAACCAACCAGTTGAAAACTCTGACTGTGACTCTTTATGCTCAACTTTGTTGAAGCAAAATCCCAGTCTGGACTTTTACTCTCTGGACCTGAATTACCCAAGTCTGCATATACAGAAGCAACATCTATGAGGAGCAGCCACACTTCTGCTGCCCTCATATGACAAAGGTGAGAGACGTGGGGGCGATGCTGCCCTCTGCATGACAGACAGGGACGTTACGACAAACCAGCAACACGAATTCTGTGAGGTCACCTGCGCTATAGGGCTAACTGGGCATCCAGCTATGGAGAGGGGGGTCCATAAGGGGTCTTAGAGACCCGACCATTCTACCAGAGACACCACACGGAAGCAGAGAGCCAGCAGCCCGGTGCCCAGTAGGTCGCCCAGGGCCGTCAGGTACGGGATGGAGAAGTTGTCCGGATCGAGTCTCTGGCGCCACATCAGCCTCACCATCAGCTCAGCCAGGTAGAGCAGCATCCCCACCTGAGCGTGAAGCATTTGTTTGGGAGTCAGTGACAGCTCAGCCAAAAGCAGTTACAAAGGGGGTAGGGTTGCATTTCAAAAACAATCCAGAAGTGCTGTGCTGGGTAGACGGCGCGTCCAGAACCGCAGCTGACTGTGCCAGGCCACAAACTGAGATGTGACGTACATAAATCATAAAAGCCACTAGTGCTTTCTTCAGTCCCACTGACATATTGGTTTAATTTCTTTTTGTTGGCAGGAACACACCATAAGAACGCAGCGGGAAAGGTCTCTCTCTGGATACTTACAGTCTACAAGGAACAAGGCTGTGTTTGTTTTACAAGCGGAATTCATTTCATAGCGGATGATCATGCAAAATTTGTGACAATTTACCAACTCCCCATATCCCCCCCACTTCAGTCCCCCTTGCTGTGAGACCCTCCCCCCGCCCCTGGGTATCCTGCTGGGGGGGGGGGGTTTGACAGCTGAGGAATGTTTCAGAATGCCCACCTGCAAGAGAGCGGCAGACAGGTAGCAGCAGGTGAACGCGAGCGTGATGGCCGTGTGTCCCCCCTGCAGCAGGTGGATGGTGTAGAGGAAGATCAGGTGACCAGGGATAACCAGGAAGAACAGCACCCGGGCGGACTTAGAGTTCACACCTGTGGGGAAACAGAGGGGGAGGAGGGAATTAGAGAGAGGAACTCTGCCTGAGACCACGACTGTGATTAAAGAGACGTATGCGTGCGGCTCTTGCAGCAGTGCATGTAAGCTACTGACCCGAGGAGAAGAAGACGACGTAGGGGTTTGGCCAGTGCTGCTCCATCTTGTAGGGCAACACACCCGGAACACTCCAGAAGTGCAGGTAGGTGGAGATACGACTGGCCTGAATAGCCACCAGATTTCCACCTACGCCTAGAGAAAATGCCGATACAGAAGGTCAAGTGTCTGCGGTCTACACACCAATCCAGGATTTTAGCAGGATATCAAAGGGGACGATTAATCGAACATCAACCGCAATTAGGAGAAGTACTATTTATAATAGTCCAGCATTCTGATTTTTAGATTTACTCTGTTCTTTGACCATTGGAGAAGGTCTATTTGGTTTTGCTTCAGGGTCTTTGTCAAGGTCTGTCTTTTTATCAGGTTACAGTTTAGACTGTAATCTGTTGTTTTCATTTCCGATCCATAAACAAAGGACACAGCTGAGCCCAGCAAGGGCTCCCTGGGTGAGCAACAGGTTTAAACTGGTTTTATAGGGTCACACTTGGCTGGGTTTTGAAACAATGGCTGTTTCTTTTTCTGATTTAACTGGAGGAAAAAGAGGGTAAAGTCCTCCTAGAGAGTCATTTACTCTTTTAAGTGCTAACATAAATGTTAATTATGTTATTGTTTTGTTTCAAGAGGGTTACAAGATAACTTAATGCAGTTCCTATTCTTTCTGAATTAATTTCTAGACTGCCTAGCTTCTGTGCCTATCCCAGCATTCCCTGCTCCCTCCTGTATTATACCCACAGAGGCACATGATCAACAGGAACATTCCAGAGCCTGGGGCAGTGTCGATCTTTAAAGCAGCTGGGGACTCTAATGATTCTCCTCGACCCTGACAGTGAGGGTGGAATGAAATGAAGGGGAACCTTAACAAATTGAGTCACTTGAATTCCCGTACAGTAACACTTGGGACGTCTCTCTGATGTTTCTAAGAACTTACAATCATGGTTTCCAGCAAGGCCTTTATATTCCAAAACCTGAGTCACTGCACTATTATTATCACAGGAATAATGAAAGTCATACTGAGATATACTGAAAGTCAAACACGAGGCACTCTCATACCGCTAACAGAGATTGGGTGTTGGGGTTGGGGTTAGGCAATTACCAAGTTGTGTGCTGCTGAGTTTGATCTTGCAGCATCATTCTCAGGGCCTACAGGCTTCTCACATTATGATACTCATCTGGCCCTGATTGGAGTAATTAATCTCTTTATGGTTAAATATGGTCATGGGGTGGGTGGGGGGGGGGTGAGAAAGACTGGAAAGTCAGAGGTATTATCCAATAAAGATAAAAGTGGAACACCCAGATGGACAGTGACCTGCATTTTTTGTGGCCAGTCGTATGGGAGGTAAGGATTTCTCATCACCTTGCCAGCCACGCACCTGCACTGCCTGTCAAAGGGCTGGTTTTGGTTCAACTGCATCTACTGTGATGAGCAACAAACCAGAGGAACCAGGCAGTGATCTCACTCTCAGTTCAAACAAGCCTTTCGTTCCTTACCTATGCCTTTTCTTTCAGCTCTTTGTTTGCTGAATCAGTGTTTGTACCCAGCATGTACCGTGTAAAATCCTGCGCAACAATTTTCAGACTTACCATTGATGACTGGCGTAAAGACAGCCATTCCCTCAAAGTTGGGGTCACTGACAGTCTTGTCCAGAATGAGGCCTCCAATACTGTGGACAGAGGGCTACGTGTCACTAGCAAAGCTGGAAAGAATTCTTATGTTTTGTGGCCACTAGTTATCCAGCCCAATTCTCACCCTCTACCTGCCGCAATCAATGGAGAGAACCATAAATGACTAACGATCATATGTGGTGAGGCTTCTCCTGGTGCCCTAAAAATTTGGAACATAATTGGATTGATCTGGGTTGGTGACCCAATATGATATGCTTTCATATGGCCCAGTATCTCCTATAGCACCCATGATGCTGCTGCAGGACCACCACCTTAGAATACTGCGGCACATTTAGGAGAAAAAATATGTACTCCTATGTGTGACAGGAAAATTTGGAACAGAGAAGCTCTATCGGAGCACTGTGTGTTCCTCTTGCCCTGCAGGCCAGCTTGCTGACTCATGATGTGCTAAGCTTGGTTAACCAAGATACTCGTCATACTGGTTTAGCTGAAACAATTCATGGGGTCATTGGTCACAGCTGAAGCAGTAAGTCACAGAGGTAGAATGTGATCTAAAGTCCATATCATGAGTTTTCCGTTTGGGTTTGCCGAAATCGCTTGGTTTGCATGGTGTAAATATTAGGGTTTTTGCAGCAGAGTTTGACGCCTTTTGGTTTGATGGCACACAGTGGTGAACCAATACTGTACCTGCTAATGGACATGGCCAAAATGACAGGC